CTCTCTTAATCACCCATAACCCATATACCAGATATATAATATGTTATTATTATCTATCCATATCAATTAATGGAGATAATATCTGTATCCTGAGTGGTTATCCTAAATAGGTTTGAATTCAATTTCAAAACCTATTTGGATAAGGTTCAAATTCAAATTCAAATGGTCATGCCACATGGGCGCCCATTACTAACAGATTATATACTAAAAGCCTAATAATAATCTATTATATGATAAACATCCAAAAATATATGTTAACAATAAATACAACCATCTATTGCATGATAATTATAAAAAAAATATCAACGAAAACAACTACCTATTATATGATTATCATCCAAACACATACGAAAAATTAATTCGATAAATAAAATAAAAAAAATAAAAATATAAAAGATTTATAATTTTATCTTTGATGAATAGAAATAGTGTTTTAAAATTTAAAATTAATTTTTTGATATTTATTTTTGTCAAATTAGTTTATATTTTATTAAATTGACGATTTTGCCTTTGAAATAGAACAACAATATCTTCAATTATCCTTATTTGGAACGAGATTTAAAATCCAAAATTAAATATATCATAATTAAAAGATACGTGATCAAAGTGACACAATCTCAAATTATATAAACCGTTAATTTAATTCGCCAAAATTACAATTACAACTCATCCCGGTGCTTTTGAGTTTGAGTTATGCCTTGAACTGGTTGGTGATGGTTTCCAAATAAATTTATATTAATTTTGTCTACGTGGATGTTTTAAAAAATTACAAGTTTGTCAAAATTATTAATTTTAATTTTTAATTTTGATGGAAGAATCAAATTGAAACTACACTGAAAATATAAAGACCAAATTGTTTAATTTGAAGCTATAGTGACAAAGTAAAATTTGAATTAAACTGGTGAAAAATGTAATTTACCCTAAATTTGAACTTTCTTATGTCTGTTATATATATATATATATATATATATTTGTATGAAACTGAAAGTTTAATAACCATGTTATTATAGATTGTAGAAGAAAATTCATTTTATGATAAATTACTAATAGATCTTAATGATTGGATTTAATTCCTATCAAGTTCTATTGAAAAAGTCTTAATAAAATCATCACTAATATATTTTTTGTGATATTTTTTACATATTGTTAAAAATTGACAATTAATGATCTTTTTTTGTCAAGAATTTTATAAATTGTCACTAAAACTTACAATTAGTGACTTTTTTGTAATAAAATTTTCAAACTATTGCTGAAAGTTGAAAATTTGTAACTTTTTTATGACGATTTTTTTAAACTATTGCTAAAACTTCTAATTAGTGACATTTTTTGGGATAAAATTTTTAAACTGTAACTAAAAATTAACAATTAGTGAAATTTTTTAATAGTATTTAATGAAAATTTTCACTTGACCTATTAAATAATAAATCTACCTATTAAGATCTAAACAAAATTCTATTTAATTTTATTATAACTTCCTTCACATTCAGGGTAACCAAACTCAAGGAAAAAATCTTCATATCCCTCACAATTTCGTGATTTTCATTCTAATTGCCATAAGATTGGTAATTGCACTACGTTATGTTTGGTTCTAGAAAATTGAGGCAATTTTTAAAAATAAATGTAAAGAGATTAAATTGTTTGGTTCTAGAAAATTGTGGCAATTTTTAAAAATAAATGTAAAGAGATAAAATTGTCACGTAAGTAGAATTTCCTTATCTTTATTTCAATTGGGGATTGCATTTTTTAGGGGCAAGGCTTGCTTCCGATTCATAATCCCGAGTGTGAGATATTATTTGGACCTATGGTACTCATTATCTCATTTCGATAATGCAAAATGTTTATTTTATAAGAATTTTCAGGTATTATTCATATACAAAATTAAAAATAGATTACAAATATATTTTTTGAGATTTAGTCAAAATACGAATTGTTCATGTAACTTAGAAAAATTACAAATATCACGTTGTCAGAACTAGAGGTGTCCGCGGTTCGGTTTGGGACAGTTTACGGTTCGGTTTGGATCCGTCCGCATATATGCAGTTTGAGGAAAAGTTAACCTGCAACCGCTCGCAATGCGGTTTGCGGTTTGTGTGGATAGGGTTCCCGGTTGCAGGCGGTTTGCGGATTGATTTTTTTTTCAAAATTTTTTTGTTAAACCCTTTTTTTTTCCCCATTTTTTTTCAATATTTCTTTTAGACCTTTTTCCTCCCATTTTCTAAAATGCTCTAACATTAATAATTAATGAATTAAAACTTATAAAAAATTTATAAAATAAAAAACATAACAAAATCAATTCGTAACCTAAATAAATCATTCAAAATCTACCTTAATCATTAACTTGCATTCATCTCAATTCGTAACCTAAACAAATCATTCAAAAAAATCTACCTTCATCATTAACTTGCATTCATCCTACATTCCTCATTCCTAACCCAAATTAAAAAATCCTACATTCATCATTCCTAACCCAAATACAAAAAAAAAAATAATAATAATAATAATAATAATAATAATTTTTCATTAATTTACATTCATCCAAAATGCAAAAAAATAAATAAAAATAAAAAATCATTAACTTACATTCATCCAAAACTAAAATGCAATTAAAAAAAAAATTTGTTGCCAAACTTCATTCAATTCAAGCCCATGAAATAAAATAAAGACATTTCTAAGATATCAAATTTCATCATGAATCATCCAATCCAACTTTCATGAACCTTGCACAAAAAAATATAAATTGTTCTTCTTTTTTTTTTTAAACGGTCAGATTTGAAGGGAAAAAAAAAAAAGAAGATTTTTTTGAATAATCAGATTAAAAAAAAAAAAAAAGAGTTTTATGCGGGCAGGTTGGGCGGGTGCGGGTCAAACTCGCAATCCGAAAATTAGATAAAATCCAAACCGCACCCTACCCTAATGTGTTTGCAAAACCGCCCATACATGCGCAGTTCGAATCGGATAGGGCGGTTTGGGCGGGTCAGATGACCCTATGCCCAGCCCTAGTCAGAATTTTTTATTTAACAGAATTAACTAAAAAAATAAAATTCTGAATTACCCTTCTATAAAATAATAAATTACTTGAAATAATATTAATTGACTTAATGATTTATTAATAAATGACTCATTTGTTATAAAATTAGAAACTTTAAGGGACGGGATGCAATTTCTTAAATTATAGAGGACAATTCATGTTTTAAACAAATTTCAAAAATCTATTTATAATTTATTCAAAAATTGAATCAATTCACTTTTCAATTGTTCTCTTCAGTTATTTGCAACTTTTGCCTTAAATTTTGTTCAGTTTCTCATCTGTTTGCTTCCATAATAAAGAAAACCAGTCACACCTCTTCCAGCCAGACCAGAGAGTGCAATATATGCAAATCCAAAAATATGAATACCCATTTCAAATTTATATTTTGGGGAACTTACTGATAAGTCCCATGTAACAAGTTCAAAACCCAACTAATTCCAAAACAAAATACTTGCACCAATTAGTCCAACACATTTTTAATTGTTACCAAAAAAATCCTTTTTTTTTTTTTTTAATTTATAGACACTGTTCACATCTTACTACCGTCGGACTTCCGTTTAACGGTCGCCGGAGGACTCACCGGAATGTCTAGAATATTGCCGGAAAAAAAAAATAAAAAACATGTTATGAAACTGTAAAATTTTACAGTTCAAAAGAATGTTTATAAAACTGCAAATTTTACAGTTTTAAAACCATGATTCATTCCAGCACCAAAAAAAAAATTTGAAACTGCAAAATTTTATCAGTTTTCACCGCCTGTAACTAAAACTCGAAAACTGCTTGTTCAGAATTCGAAAATTTTCTCCATTAGAACAGAAAAACAGAAGTGTATAGCAGAGAGAGAAAAAAAAAAAAAAGGAGATCGAAGGGGAAAGACGGATGTCTAACCAAATCTGTGTAGATCTACTCAGATCTGATGTAGATCTGAGTAGATCTATATCAGATCTAAGTAGATCCATTCATCTTCTTCGTCGGAAAATATATCATCTTCTTCGCGCGGAGTTGATTTCAATGCTTGGTGGTTATCAATGAACCCCGATCAATGGAGAAAGATATGATCACCGGTGGTCCTCTTCCATGACAAACACGGTGACAGAAAATGTAGAAAAAAAAACGAGAGAGGAAGGGAAGCAAAAAGCAGAGAGAGAGAGAAAAGGACTTTTGGGTGTAGTGAAAAAGTTATGGAATTAAATGGAGATCACATGTTTCCCATGGGACCTATGGGTAATTTCCCCTTATATTTTATACTATAGAATACAATCAGAATATTGAAATATACACACAAATTGGAGTGAAGAGTTTCCACAACGCTCGTGGGCGTGACTAGTTGCCGTTGGGAACACGAACACAACGTTCATGGTCTGTTTGTTTCACTGCTGCTTCTTCTCTTTTTCTTTTTTCTTTTTTTTCATATATATTTAATTTAATTATTATTATTATTATTTCTTAATTTTTTTGTATAAATATTCTACCGAATATGTACTAAAAAATGAACACTTTGGATATCCGATGTGGACTCCAAAATGAACTCACCAAATCTAAACACTATCTCAAGTTAAGATTACCCACTTAAAAAAAAAATTAAAATCATTTAGAGGCTATGTTCGGTTCATGGATTTGAGAAAGAATTTTAAAAAATAAAGAGAAAAAACGTGTGAAAATGTATAAAATATAACTATATTTCATTCATATTTTACTTATCTTTTCTATTTCTCTTTTGAAATTCATGAACGAAACATGATTATAAGAAAATACAAACATACTATTATTTAATTTTCCATTTTAGAGGTATTATCTACATTCAAAACTAATCTTCATAGATTCAATCTCAAATTCCATCATTTGAAATTCACCCATCCAAAACGCGTTTTTAGTCTTTTTATATTTTAATTTTTGGTGGACCGACGACCCATAGATCCATCGTTGAGTGGGTTGTTGAAGAGCCAGCAAGACTATAAAGACCTAACAACTCTATGTAATAAGCAGAGCATTGTACATGATCGACCAACAAACACAGTTCTGTTATTTTAAAAAAAAAAAGAAGAAAAAGTAATTTGTTTTTTCTCCTGAGGTTCAGAGTACTGAATTCCGGTTTTCTTCAATCATGTCAGGCAATGCAGCCATGATATTTGGCTTGTTCCTCAACATACTAGCCATCTCTGCTTTGAACCAAGAAGGCCTCTCTTTACTCTCATGGCTTTCTACTTTCAATTCATCTCATTCTGCCACTTTCTTTGCTTCGTGGAACGCAACCCACAATAACCCATGTAAATGGGACTACATCAAATGTAACAGCAATGGGTTCGTTTCAGAAATCAATATTACCTCTATCCATCTTTTCACAACCTTCCCCACTCAGTTCCTCTCCTTCAACTTCCTTACCACCCTTGTCCTTTCTTATGGCAGCCTCACCGGAGAAATTCCATCTTCGATTGGAAACTTGTCGTCACTGGTCAGCTTGGATCTCAGTTACAATGCTCTCACAGGAAGAATACCGCCAGAAATTGGAAAATTATCCCAACTGCAGCTCCTATCACTGATTTCTAATTCCTTGCAAGATGGAATTCCAACTGAAATCGGAAATTGCTCAAAGCTTCAACAGCTTCTACTGTTTGATAACCACCTCTCTGGAAGAATTCCATTAGAAATAGGGCAGTTACGGGCTCTAGAAATCTTTCGAGCTGGTGGAAACACGGGAATCCATGGAGAAATTCCAATGCAGATATCACAATGCATAGAACTAGTTTTTCTTGGTCTTGCAGATACCGGGATTTCAGGGAATATTCCATATAGTATTGGAGAGTTGAAGAATCTCAAGACTCTTTCAGTATACACAGCAAATCTCACTGGTGAGATTCCACCTGAAATTGGTAATTGCTCGGCCTTGGAAGATCTGTTTGTGTATCAGAACCAAATTTTTGGAGAGATTCCAAGTGAACTAAGCTTGCTGAAAAATCTCAAAAGATTGTTACTTTGGCAAAACAACCTTAGTGGGTGCATTCCAGGATCTCTTGGAAAATGTTCAGGCTTGACGCTCGTTGATTTCTCAATAAATTCTCTAACGGGTGAGATTCCTCCATCTCTTGTGAATTTAAGTGCTTTGGAGGGGCTTCTTTTGTCCGAGAACAACATTTCTGGAAAAATTCCACCATTCTTTGGAAACTTTTCCCACTTGAAGCATCTTAGTTTGGAAAACAACAGATTCTCCGGGGAGATTCCACCCACCATCGGGGAATTAAACGAGCTCTCTGTGTTCTTTGCTTGGAATAATCAACTTGGCGGAAGCATACCATCGGAGCTAGCCAACTGCAAGAAGCTTCATTCGCTGGATCTCTCAAGCAATTATCTTACTGGGTCAATTCCAAAGTCTCTTTTCAATCTCAACAACTTTACTGAATTGTTTCTGATATCAAATGAACTTTATGGAGGACTTCCATCTGCTATTGGCAATTGCAGCAGTTTGACACATCTAATGCTAGATTCAAACATGTTATCCGGTCAAATCCCATCAGAAATTGGTCAACTACAAAGTTTGAGTTCTCTGCAGTTGTCAAAAAATCAATTTACCGGAGAAGTCCCCAAAGAGATTGGCAACTGCACTCGGCTAAAAATTGTTCATTTGCAAGAAAATAGGCTCCAAGGCACGATACCAAGTGAACTAAGCTTGTTGAAAAATCTCACAGAGTTGGTACTTAGGCAAAACAAACTTAGTGGGAGCATTCCAACGTCTCTTGGAAACTGTTCAGGCTTGACCGTTATTAATCTCTCAAAAAACTCTCTGACAGGTGAAATTCCTCAATCTCTTGCAAATTTAAGTGCAATGCAGGATCTTCTTTTGTCTGATAACAACTTTTCTGGCAAAATTCCATAGTACCTAGTGTTATCAGAATTTAAGTTTACATGTTACTACTCAGAAATATGGTTTTAGAATAAAAGTTGCTCTAACCTTTGTTAAGTTTACATGTTACTACTCAGAAATATGGGTCAAGGATTGCCCGATCAAGGGTTTTTTTTTTTTTTTTTTTCCCTTTTTTTGGGTGCTAACCATGAGAGATTGAATATTTGTTGCTAACAATTTTTGCTGCACGAACAGTTTGGAAGACCTAGTTAAAAAAAATAGAGATTTTTACTGGCCGATCCTATTTTCAAGGGTTATTATCCAACAAATCCTTAATGGAGACTCTTTTACCTATAGGTCCTGAACATTTTTGTTTATTCCGTTTTTGCCCTTATATTTTTATACTCAGATCTGGAGATGAAAGATGAAAAAAATAAATAAATAAATAAATATATATATATATAATAAATAAAAAAAGCTCTCTCTCTCTCTCTGCACATTTCTCCACCAACGACTATCACTATCTCCACCGTTGCCGACCACCGCCGCCTCCATTGTCGTCATTGCCAGTGACCTCAACTGGCATCTTCTTTCACTTTCACCATTGCTTCCACCACCACCGACGTTTTCGCCTCTACCTCCACCGTCGTTGCCGACCATTGTTGCCTCCACTTCCATAGTCGTCATCGCCTCCACCTCTAGATCTAGGATCTAGGCTCTTTGCCACCGGATCTTCTCTCTCTCTCTCTCTCTCTCTCTTTGTATATTGGGGAAGATCTCAATGATAAATTTATTTAAACTAATGATAAAATTGCTTAAATCAGTGATAAATTTGTTTAAACCAGTGATAAATTAATCACTGTTGAATTTTTGTAAATTTGTTTTTGTGAATTAGTAAGTGAGTGTGTATGTATGTGAGTATGAAATTTATCACTGATAACATTTTATCACTGCTAAATTTGTGTGAATTAGTAAGCGTGTGGATGTGTTTTTGTAAATTAGTGAGCAAGTGTATATGTATGTGAGTATAAGAGCAAGAAAGAATAAGTAATTTAAGTGGTTTGATAAATACTAATAACATTTATTAGGCCTCGTTTGGGAACCCTCTTTTTTAATTAAAAAGTCAAAAAGTTAAATTAGTCAAAAAGCCAACAACCCATACCAAAAAGTCAAAGATTCTCTTATCTCTCTACTTTTTGCACATATTTTCGTAAAAAGTCAAAAAGTCATCCCAAACATACTAGTTTTTTTTAGCTCATATTTTAGCCAAATAACTAAAAAATTACTAAATTAACCTGTTCTTAAACGAGACTTTAGTATCTGTGTATTTCTCACTAAGACGGTTTGGGTTACAATGTTAAATTTAAAAGTAAAAATAAAAAACACTATTTAATTTTTTTAGATAGCACTTGCAGGATGATAAGACTGGTCCATAGAATTGACCTGTAACTCCTCCCAAAAAATGAAGGTGTGCTGGAGGCCCATCAATGAATGGCCTAATGGCCAAGAACTCTGTACAATTTGAGTCAGTTGATCCATAACCACTTCTGCATTTGTGTACTCTGCAACAGTTTGAAGCAATATTCAGAAAGGGGATTTTTGGGCAGAACAATATTTTTAATAAGCCATTGTGACCAAAGGATGAGAGACATTCATACATGTAGAGGTGGAAATAATCAGAATCGTTCGTGGACATATTTGAACTAGGCTTGGTAAGAGCTTGTTCAAATTTGATTCGTTAATTTTTTTTTTGCGTTTGAGCTTGAGTTCGAGCTCGTTAAATTTTTAATAAACAAGTCTAAACATTCTAAAGTTCGGCTCGTTAGTTGGCTCGTTTAATATTTATTATTTATATATTAAATATCTAAAAAAAATAAAAATAATAGTTAACTATAAATAGTACATTTATGTAATAGTAGCAGTAGATATTATTATTTTGATAAAATATTAATTTTTTTTAAGAGTGTTTATATATATTGCATATATAATTAAAATTTTAATTGTAACTTTATTCTTATACGCAAGTATGAATTTATAAATTTTTTGGCTCATTAAGGCTTGTGAACAGGTTCGAGCTCGAGTCAAGCCTAAGCCAATTCGGTTCAAGTTCGGTTCATTAAATTTTTATTAAGTTCAAACTCGAATTTGCTAAAATCTTAATAAATAAACTCAAACATACTAAAGTTCGACTCGACTCAGTTCGTTTACAACCCTACATACATGTAATATTGCATCAATAGAGTTGGCTCATGAAGCAAAACAATTAAATGTTTTCAAGAAAGTGCAAACAGAAAACATGTTTCACTTTCACGTTTTAAGGTTGATGACAAGAAGAAAAGCTAGAGAATAGGCTAGTCTGAAATCGAATTTGGTCAGGTTTTAAAAACATTTTTACTGTGCATTACCACATTAATTTCTTGCACCTCCTATATAGATCCACCACAGTATCCTCTCTTAACATATTACATGGACCCACGTTTAAAGTGAAAAATAAATGAAAAGGTGAAAAAATTCATTTCGGTGACTGATATATTTTTCTATTAAGGCGAGATCCCCATCTCATAAGGTTGTAAATTTATGTCATCAAAATCTAGAATTAATGGTATATAACAAAAATAAATTTGTTCACCCACAACCCAATATATGATGATGGGGTTGAAAAAAGTTTCAAAAAAAAAATATATATATATATATATTCATAAATTCAAACTCAACTGTGAAACAAAGCGGTGGAGCCCACATCTGTGGGGCCATGTGTAGACCTCACCTCCTCTTTGTCTCACATCAATGGCTAGTGTCCTCGGAGCACAGTTATACATATGGGTTGTTTTATAAAATTGATTAGAAATTAATTTCTTTATTTTTTTTTAATTTTGAGAAAAAAATATATATAAAAAAGTAGAGAAAATTGTGTGACTTAAAATAAGTTAAAAATTGACTCTTAACTTTTTATGTTCTTCCCAAAATAATTAGTCTAAAATCATGAGTATCATATTTAAAAAAATCTATTAATCCCACTCAAAATTATAAATCTCACGATTTTGCATCGATTAAAAATTGTGTAAAATCCTTATCACTGTCATCTCATTTTAAGTTTAAAAACTTTCTTTAGTAACAAGTCTTGAATATAAATTAAGAATATATTGATGTAGATCTTTCTTAACTATTGATTATGAAATAGAGATTTTCATTCCATTTATGTAATGGAGAACATTTTAGGATCTGTTTGGTTTAATTTTAAAATTATGATTTGAATGTAAAATTGTGTTTTAAGTTTTGAGTTTTTTAATTATAATTTGAAAAAATAAATTTTGTTTGGTTAAAAGTTTTGAAAATAGTTTTGAGATGATTTATAAATTTTTATTTTATTTTATTTTATTTTTTATCGATTGATATATAGAATGTGAGAGATAAGAGGACAAATGAGAAAGAAAAAGTGATTGATTGATTGATTAATAATAATATAAAAAAATAAAAAATAAAAAGAGAAGAGAGAGATTTTGAAAGTAATTTTGAGTAGTATTTTAAAAATATATTTGATTAACATATTACATCCAAATCATAATTTAAAAATATAATTGAATTTGAAAAAGTAAACCAAACGCCACCTTAAGTTCCAAAATATCACCTCATCATGTGGTTGACTAATCGTGTATTTTGATTTGCCTATCATTATTCTTTGCCTTCGTTTGGGATGTGGGTTAATTTTAAAAAAAATTTGACTATTTTAGCCTAGAGTTAAAAATTCTCATTTGGAATTAACTTTTTGACTTTTTTGACTTTTATGAGAGAAAAATAAAATAATTATAGTTTAAATATGATATTTTATTTTATTTTATTTTTAATTTATTTTATTTTTTTGTAACTATTTTAACTCAAACTCTTATAAAGCCTTTGTTTTTTTCAACCATGTAAATACATTACTCCGAATATACAATTAACGTGCTATTTAAAATAATAATAATTACTCTAAATAAATTAATAAGTACTTTGTGTGGTACTAAAATGTAACTTGGGGAGGTTGTTGCGCATGCTGCGCAGCAATTACTATTGCGCAGCTAATGAAACCCTTTTTCAGGTTTTATTTTGGTGGTTCGAATCGTTCACTTTTTAAAAGATATCGCATGAAACGTGTTTATAAAAATTCAAATTAATTAAATATCAATATCTCTTTCATCAAGTCATGTTTGTGTTTAAATTTATACTGAAAATTAAATTCACCATTCAATTTTTTAGATATAAATATGTCTTGATGAAAAGGATATCAATATTTGATTAACTTGAATTTTTTTAAATATATTTTACTCAATATCTTTTAAAAAGTGAACAGTTCAAATTATCAAAATGAAATCCAAAAAAAAAAAACCTAATTAATTGTGCAATAGTAATTGCTACGCATGGTGTACAGCAGCCACTCCAAACTCACTAAAATCAAAGTCACTAAAATGTGGCTATGCCACAAATGGATAGATGGTGGAGATATAATTGTTACAGTGCCGACACTAAATAATTTAGAGGTATGTCATATATATATATAGACAGAAAGCATTTAGAAAGAGGGTTGGACTAAAATAGCACATTAAAAGATAAAATAAATTAAAATAATTAATAAGACAAATCAATCATCAAATCAACTATAAGAAAAAGATCGATTAACTTTTCAAACACAACTTTTTTAATTAAACTAAAATTATCAACAAAAAAAAAAAAATCAAATAATTAACTTTCTAAACAAAACCATAATGTGATTCTCTGGAGAGGATGACGGGTTCATGTCAAAAACAACACTCCAAATCAGATAATTGAAATATGCAATCTGCTGCCACTACTCATGGTCGGCCAAAATCACATTAACCCCACCCTCCATAACTCTCACTCTCACTCTCACTCTCACTCTCTCTCCTACCACAATTCTTACCTTTCAACTATTACCCCCAACTTGGGTTCCATCTCCAAATCACACTCAACATTTCCTTTGCAAAACTCCTGCAGTTGAAAGTTCATTTTCTTTCCTCAGATTCTTTCACCCGTACTTCTTGACAAGGGCATCTCTAGATCACAAGTCACTAATTTTGGTTCAAATTATTGTTTAAGCAACTAAACGAACTTCCACTTTTGGGTTCTTTTTTCTTTTAAATACACACACACATATATATATTATATGCCCATTTAGTGCAACTTCTAAAAGAATAGAAGATCAAAATCTAAACACATAAGCTAAAAGCATCTCCTTTCTCAACAACTCAATAATCATCTTTTTTTACCCTTTTTTAGTTCCATTTTTATCTCATGAGTTGTAAGAATATACTCAAAGGTTACAGTCATAAGCACCTTCGTAAACTGTACTAAATGGGATTTTCACTATGTAGGGGAATAATAATGCAAAATTACAAGTGGGGAAATTTTTTGTTAAAAAATTCCAAGATTTCTAGCATTTTAGGTGAGAAGGTTCATGCATGGGGAAAGAAATGAGATTGTCACTATGAGGGAATGGATCACTAGATAACTGCATTATTTCTCTAGAAAGTGGACAAACCTTAGCTGAGGGGAAGCTGATTTAGAGACATTACAACAAACAATAATGCTGCAGAAAAAAAGGTTGTGGAGTCTACCTCTTTTTGGTGCAGATTTGTACTTTTCATTTGTTTTTGGATGGTTATGCTCACAACTCAAAAGCAAAAAAATACATACATACTAACTGGATAACATTTTAGATTTTTCATGAATTGCCGTCCAAACATTAATCCACCATGTAACAGTACCCTCAATCAACAGAGAGAAATTTAAAAACAAAATGACCACAGGAATAGGAAAGCATTCTCAATGTCTGAGCATAGATTATGTATAAACTGTTATTTATACTACACCTATCACAGAACTTAGTCATGATTTCTTCTCCTTAGCTAGCTCTAAAGAAAAATTATTCAGTAGTTCTAGAATTGGAATATTAATGTGACATGTGTACGTGATTCTCTTGACTAAAGAAGTCACACAAAAAAAGATGGATAGGACCAACCTTATTTTCCACTCAACCAATCAAGGTGGGTCTGGTCAGCTTCATTCATTGTGTGACTACTACACTTAGGGGTATTTGGGATTATCTAAATAAGTATATTTTTTTACTTTTTACGGAAAAAAAATAAAATATGGATTGGATTTGAAGTGATATAGTAGAAAAGTAATGTGACTCAAATAAGATGATTGTGACCCAAATAAGATATTGTTCATTTTAGCACATGCCAAACACTCCCTTATTGGTCTGCAAGCATCATATTAGCATGCAATGCTGAGTTGGTACTCCGAATCATCCAAGTAAAAAGATAACATGATTTAGCATTTCCACTCCTGTCTCATTCTTTCAAATACCAAATGAAGCACATTATTGTACAATATACCCTAGCATGTGCTCTAAATTATTATTCCCGATTCTAAGCGTACAGATACAATCAAAAACAAGAAGACAAAGAAAACTACTAACCTACAAAGAAGACATAGGCAAGAATAGTAATTTTGCCGGATATGTACATACAAGAGAAGGCTTCCTTTCCTCACTATATTTAAAACCTGCAAAATCATTATCTTCATAACACAACAAAATGTTACTATTCATCATTGCATTATATTAGTCAGTTAATCTGTCTTTCTTGTCCCTAGTTGTCAATTCAATACCATCTCAGTAAAACCCAGACAGTTTATTCATCATCAAGACTGTGAAAAGGGTTTCAAGATTCAGATAGTTTCTTCTGTAATTCTAGATGAAACCGAAGGGCATTTTAGGATATATCAGCTTCCATGATAAAGATAACATTTTAGAAAAGTTATCGAGTTTCTTTTGCTACAACTAGCTGAGATAGAACAGTAGCAGAGTACATACCTCATCATGTCAAGCAAAGCCATCACAATATTTCTCTTGCTCCTCAACATCTCTTTGTTCCCAGCCATCTCTGCTTTGAACCAAGAAGGCCTCTCTCTACTCTCATGGCTTTATATCTTCAATTCATCTTATTCTGCCACTTTCTTCGCTTCGTGGAATGCAACCCACCAAAACCCTTGTAAATGGGACTATATCGAATGTAACAGCAATGGGTTTGTTTCAGAAGTAACTATTAGCTCTATCAATCTTGGCACAACCTTCCCTATTCAGTTACTCTCTTTCAACTTCCTTACCACCCTTGTCCTTTCACATGGAAACCTCACAGGAGCAATTCCATCTTCAATTGGAAACTTGTCATCGCTGGTCAGCTTGGATCTCAGTGTCAATGCTCTAACAGGAAGAATACCACCAGAAATCGGAAAATTATCCCAACTACAGCTCCTATCACTGAGTTCTAATTCCTTACACAATGGAATTCCGACTGAAATCGGTAACTGCTCAAAGCTTCAACAACTTGAACTGTTTGATAATCAGCTCTCTGGAAGAATTCCACTAGAAATAGGGCAGTTATGGGCTCTACAAATCTTTCGAGCTGGGGGAAACCTGGGAATTCATGGAGAGATGCCAATGCAGATATCACAATGCAAAGAACTAGTTTTTCTTGGTCTTGCAGATACCGGGATTTCAGGGAATATTCCATATAGTATTGGAGAGTTGAAGAATCTCAAGACTCTTTCAGTATACACAGCAAATCTCACTGGTGAGATTCCACCTGAAATTGGTAATTGCTCGGCCTTGGAAGATCTGTTTGTGTATCAGAACCAAATTTTTGGAGAGATTCCAAGTGAACTAAGCTTGCTGAAAAATCTCAAAAGATTGTTACTTTGGCAAAACAACCTTAGTGGGTGCATTCCAGGATCTCTTGGAAAATGTTCAGGCTTGACGGTCGTTGATTTCTCAATAAATTCTCTAACGGGTGAGATTCCTCCATCTCTTGTGAATTTAAGTGCTTTGGAGGGGCTTCTTTTGTCCGAGAACAACATTTCTGGAAAAATTCCACCATTCTTTCGAAACTTTTCCCGCTTGAAGCAACTTGAATTGGATAACAACAGATTCTCCGGGGAGATTCCACCCACCATCGGGGAATTAAACGAGCTCTCTCTGTTCTTTGCTTGGAAAAATCAACTTCACGGAAGCATACCATCCGAGCTGGCCAACTGCAAGAAGCTTCACGCGATGGATCTCTCACACAATTATCTTACTGGGTCAGTTCCAAACTCACTTTTCAATCTCAAGAACTTAACCGAATTGTTGTTGATATCAAATGAACTCTCTGGAGGAATTCCAGCAGCTATTGGCAATTGCACCAGCTTGACACGTTTAAGGCTGGGTTCAAACGTTTTAGCTGGTCAAATTCCACCAGAAATTGGGCTATTACAAAGTTTGAGTTTTCTAGAGTTGTCACAAAATCAATTTACCGGAGAAATCCCTCCAGAGATTGGCAACTGCACTCAGCTAGAAATGCTTGATTTGCATGAAAATAAGCTCCAAGGCATGATCCCAACCTCCATTGAATCTCTTGTAGAACTGAATGTTCTAGACCTCTCCATGAACAAAATATCAGGCATCATTCCTCAGAATTTGGGCAAGCTCAAATTTTTAAACAAACTTGTATTAAATGGGAACTACATTACTGGTTTGATTCCTAAATCACTGGGAGTATGCAAGGATTTGCAGTTGTTGGATATGAGCAACAACAGAATCAGTGGTTTAATCCCCGATGAGATTGGTCACCTGCAAGGATTAGATATCTTATTGAATTTGAGTTGGAATTTTTTGAGTGGACCCATCCCAGAAGGCTTTTCAAACTTTTCACAGCTTGCAAACTTGGATCTCTCTCACAATATGTTAACAGGAAGCCTAAGAGTACTGGGTAATCTGGACAATCTTGCTTTTCTGAATGTCTCGTATAATAATTTCTCCGGTTTTCTTCCCAATACCAAGTTCTTCCAGGACCTCCTGGACACTGTTTTCCTTGGTAATCCAGAGCTCTGCACTAACAGAAACAAGTCCAAGCTTAGCACAAACCTACACAGTAGCAGATATACTAAAAGCCTCATTATATTGTCAGTACTCAGCATAACTGCTACTACAACAATTGTGACTATTGGAGTAATTTCTCTCATCAGAGCGCAAGGAAATAAAGTTGGGCGGAATGATGAAGAAGATGAACTGGAGTGGGAAATCACCCCATTCCAAAAGTTGAACTTCTCGGTGGATGATATTGTGACAAAGCTTTTGGATTCTAACATTGTTGGAAAGGGTTGTTCAGGAGTGGTCTATCGTGTTGAAACCCCAACGCGACAGGTCGTTGCGGTGAAGAAGCTGTGGCCAACAAAGAGTGATGAGTTTCCAGAGAGAGACTTGTTTTCTGCAGAAGTTACAACACTTGGATCAATAAGGCATAAAAATATAGTGAGGCTTCTGGGCTGTTGCAAAAAAGGAAAAAGTAGATTGCTCTTGTTTGATTACATCAGTAATGGAAGTTTAGCTGGATTGCTCCATGAGAAGAAGATATTCTTGGACTGGGATGCGAGGTATAAGATCATACTGGGAGCTGCTCATGGTTTGGCTTATCTTCACAATGATTGCTTTCCTCCCATAGTTCATCGCGATGTGAAGTCCAACAACATCTTGGTGGGATCACAGTTTGAAGCTTTCATTGCAGATTTTGGGCTTGCAAAGCTTGTTAAATCTTCAGATTATTCAAGTGTTTCCAACACAGTAGCGGGTTCTCATGGGTACATAGCTCCTGGTAAGCTCTCTCTTTTTCTTTCCTTTTTTTAGCTATGCTTTGTTCTGAACTCATAGAATAGTTTGCACATGCTTTTGGATTCAATGTAAGATTAATCATTTTCTAGATAAAAATGCAATGTTTTCAGAATCTTTTCTGAACTATTCTCAAAATGCTCCATAACACATTTTCAATTCCATCATCATCACTAACTTGTCAAAACCTTCTTCTATCACTCAAAATTCTCTAGTTTCCTGTTGTGTTACACTGTTATGTCAATTTCATCCTGAAATGTTCCCGACAATCACCAAGTTTCGATTTTTTTCTATATTATATATATATATATATATATCAGATTTCCATCCTGCATCTCACTACAATGTGTTCATTATAAAATGGGGAAACTATTAACTTAGCACAGAAGACTAACAATAACTGGTTACAAATTGCAGAATATGGATATAGCTTAAGGATCACAGAGAAGAGTGACGTATATAGCTATGGCATTGTGCTCCTAGAGGTCCTAACAGGGATGGAACCAACTGATCGGCGGATTCCTGAGGGGGGCCACATTGTTAGTTGGGTTAACCAGGAACTACGAGAAAAGCATAGAGAATTCACATCAATTCTTGATCAGCAACTACTTCAGAGATCTGGCACACAAATTCAAGAGATGCTTCAAGTGCTTGGGGTGGCTCTACTTTGTGTGAACCTTTGCCCAGAGGAGCGACCCACAATGAAAGATATCATAGCAATGCTCAAAGAGATCAAGCACGAAAATGAAGATTTCGAAAAACCCAATTCTATCAAAAAGGAATTAGTAACCAACCTGAAAGCAGCAGCTCACTGTTCTAGTTTCTCTAGATCGTCTGAACCCCTAATTAGATCACCTTCCCATTTGTCATAGTTATTTCAAAGTCTTATGTTTGAATTAATTGATTTTTACATGTAACAAATATATTGTATAGATTAATATTAAAAATTTGTAAGAAGGTTTAATATTGATTGTATATTGATATTCTACTTTCCTTCATTCCATTTGGGAAATAAATTGTTACTCTTATGACTTCTCAATAAAGCCAAAGCAAATTGGTACGTTCATTTCAGTACAGGAATCATACAAATGGGTTCTTCAAAACGTGGATTGCAAAAGTTCAATTGAATAGATAATGACAAACCAATATTTCATCCTAAGAATACAAAAATTCTTAAAAGTAAGCAGCTTATATTTTACACAAATAAATATTATCAAACAATCATAACTTGTTAATTGGCTAATATACACACAGTATACATACTAGCTTAAATATCGAACACGCATACAATTTTTAGTGCAAAGCCTGGCTTTCAAGATGGCAGTAATAAACTATTTAGTATATGACAACTAAGATTCCCCCAACTGCTATCTTCACAACTAAAGAATTTCAGGCTTCTCTCTTTCACCAATATCAGATACCAGCGTCTGAAGCTGAACGAATGGTTCACTCTTGCTATTTCAGGGGACCACAACATGCATTCTGGAGCAATTAGGTTAGCACTCACTTTCCATGGCTGTAAAGCCTTACCCTCCATTCACGTGAACTAGAAAAGAACTGGAGGTGCTACAATATTAAGGAATCCATCGACATTACTCAATAAGCAATTGCAGTTCTCCAACAAGGGCCCAATAACACAGACAAACAGAATTCTAGTCCTTCGGGTTGTATGTGGGGAAGTTAGGATGATAAAAAAGCTATGGTGGTGACAAATTCTAGGTTGGCATCAGCCACACGGAACATACAATTATGGGAAAGCTATGGACCACGAAACCATTACAAGGCCCCTAACATCCCTTTCGGTGAAGATAAAGAGATGTCATGTTCCATTTTCTTGAAAGATACATTGCTTTTAGTCAGGTCATATCAAACCATGTTACGCCCGCAGATACAGTTTAAACAAACCTATCGAACTTTAATGACCACGAATGCAAGTACCATTAGACAGAGCTTCTTATTTTCATGGTCCTTCCCATGCAAGCAACAAGTATTATCATGTCCATTAAAACATTTGTTTATGTACGACTCCAATCCTGCCTCTTCTCAAGCCATCATCACCGTGTGCATTACAACATTCATTTAATTCTAAACCCTCTTCCTTTCAGGCATCTTTAGCCAAACCCTTGTCGATAAGTACTACTAAGCTTATCGAGTTAAACATTTGCTTTTACAGCAATATGTATTAGCATGAACCAACTGAGACTGGCTCAGTTCATCCGAACCCTTGCACCTTAGGGAGTCAAGGATCCGATGTACCCAAAAAAAAAAAAAAAAAAAAAAAAAAAAATGTTGTCATCATGTGCCTTACAAAAATCATTTAGGTCCAAACTCTGATAAATACTCTTAAGCTTATCCAGTTAAACCATTTTTTTTATAGCTCCTGTCATTATGCAATTATTCGTAATATTATTACTACCAAATTAAGGCAATAAACGGTTACAGTGTCTTATGTATGCGAGGTTGCGAATGGTCACACATATCTGGGCTTTTTCCCTGGGTCTCACCGAAGTTGGCGTTAGGGTTTCTTGTTAGCAAAAAAAAAAAAGGAACAAGAAGAAAATAATGCACGGCCAATAACACCATTAATAACAACTTATGACAGTTTCTAAAATATATCTATATTATGTTTGGTTAAGGGATTTGGAAAGAAAAAGAAAAAGAGTGTATAAAACTACGTAAAATATAGATATATTTTATTCATATTTCACCTACCTTTTTCCTTTCCGTTTCCAAATCTCTTCCTAAATCCTCCAACCAAATAAAGCGCTGAGGTGTCCTAATTGCCAGGGCAGAACGGGCTGTTTCAAGAGCAATGTAAACTGCCAAAGCAACGTGTACAACCATTCAAAGCAGCACTTGCACTAGAAAAAGCCAGAGTTTCCCTGGCAGTAGCAGTTCCCTACTACCCAATCTAAATGTACCATTAAATAACATTATTAAGTTCATATGCAGGCTAATTTACTGTTGAATTATCAAATAAATAAATAAAAACCGTATAGAAAATAGTCTCACAAGGAACTGCAAAGAAGAATAAACGTATTGGTCTAGGTTGTATGCTATAATTAGATAATGTAGTGAGAAGACAGCTCAATATTTTTGGGGTAAATTACAAATAAATCTCATGAGATTTGTTTAAAATACGAATCGCCCCTTATAATTTTGAAAATTATATTTTGCCCCTTGAATTTTCTAATTTCATAATGAATAGTCATTTTTATTCATAAATCATCAATTCATTTCACAATTTTTAATGATACTAAAAATATATTTCAATTAATAATTTAGGTATAAGAGATCAGTTAATTCTATTAAATAAAAAATTATGACGAGATATTTGTAATTTTTCAAAATACACAAGGCAATTCGTATTTTAAACAATGGATGTATTTGTAATTTACCTTCTTTTTTTTTCCCCTATCTTTTTCTTTTCTTTTCTTTTTTTTTTTATTTTTTCAGTGACACGCAAGAAATTATACTTTGATTCCAATTGAACCCTTGAAACAATAAACAACCAAGATAGAAACTTTTACTGATGCAAAACTATGCAGTTCATCATATTAGACCTGAATTTCCCTAGATGACATTTTTCTTCACAAATGGTATCTCAAGAAGCAAAATACCAAGATTTTTTGGCCAATATTGTACTTATTTTTATGTGTAATACAAAATTTTCAGGAATATATATATATGGGCCAACACCATTTAGCACCATAGAACCAGGGGAACAAAGCATACACACGTTCCAATAAATATAAAAAAAATCAAAAAAAAAAAAGCATACACACGCACACTGACTACAAAAAGTTATATTACACAATTAAACATTACATAAGCAATAGTTAAACTCGCTACATACGCAACAGTCATATTACAGAAATAAACATTACATAACACACAACAATACTGGCGTAAAACAAAAAAGTAACATGAGTAAATAAAATTTACATTGGGATATCACAATGATCATCACCCATTGGAACCAAAACATGACGCACCTGAAAGCATTGCAAACTACGACCTTGAAATAACTAAAACCAGCATCACACATTACAACTTTGTCTCTGGATGCCACTTTACGCTGCATCCAACACTTTTGACAAATGGAGAAAATGATCTCAGCTTATAATCACTTAACTATAGATAAATAATTCGGTATTAAGAGGAAGAAGATGAGACAAGGAAAAATTATAGAATACCTGGGTTTTTGAACTGCTGGTATCGGTTGGCCACTGAGAACACGGTCTATGGCAAGGCTCAAGTCCCTAGAGTAGACAATTTATCATAATAGCTAATTAGATACTCATTAAAAAGAATACCAATCCGAGAGAAGATTTGCAATATTTATATAAATAAACCTAGAAGTTACAGAAACCAACCTTCCAGTGACAGGGACATTATTACTCGGTCGTGAATCATCAAACTGGCCATGATACACCAGCTCAAAGGGCCTTCGACCATCCTATTATGAAATGATACAATTTTGTCAACACAGAACATGTCAAATTATGGTGGCAGGGATGGGCATGGCTAGAAACTTTGATCACAATGATTAGTCCATGATGGGGGATTTTAAGGATGGTGATAAAATTGAGCACCTCTGAGGAAAATCTGAGATAAGAAACCACACATGGAAAAAAACTTTAGTATATTAAGTGCAGGTCATTATTACCTTTTTAAATAGGAAAAACTCTGGAGTGCAAACAGCTCCAAAATCTCTTGCAACATCTTGTGACTGCAGAAGAGCATTCTTAGATATATAAAGGCCTTATATACTTGGGTTGTAAGGGTTGAGGAATACAAATTCATTTATTAATCAACTTCAGAGGAAGAAGAATTTAAAACCAACAAGAATATAATTATAATCACAAGGTTAAAAGTAATAGGGGGAGTGTGTGTTTGTTCATGCACACGTAAAATTAAAAGAAAAACACAAAATTGTTGAGATCTCCTTTGCTCCGTCACCCAAATCATGTCAGTTCTATACATGGTATTACTTTGCTAGCCAATATATTGGCTATGAATTAATCCTGACTTATAAAGGATATGCACATCAATTAGAAAACAACGCTACTGGCAATTGGCCCCAAGAATTGGATGATAAATTGATATATCCTGAAATTTATCAATCCTTCCAACTCAATTGACACAAACTTGGCAAGGACAATAATGAAACAATTTACAGAAACTACATGATTCATTTGTAGCCAACAGTATTAAGTATTTCTTTTTGCAACAAAAAACAAAGGGAGAGCCAAACATTCATTTCCTCACAATCATTTTCTTTCATCTTGAAATGCCTCATAATTTGGTTAGATAGTTGATTAAAAAATTACCTAAATTGACTCAACCTTTTATTTTTCCTAAACAGTTGATAAAGTATAATTTCTTTTCACAACCCTCTTGTTTTTTATCAACAAGATTGCTGACTTGATTAGGAAGTTACTAGAACAGACTTGAATGTTTAGTCTTATATTATCAATAATTCATAATAGGATCATCAATGGTGTGCACTAACTTTCAAATAATAGTTAAATAAAATCCACTAATGGCTATCTTTAAGTCTTTTCTTCCCACATTAAAATTTTACTAATTGTATTAGTTCAAAAAAACACATGCAAGACATTTTACATCAGTGAATTGCAATGGCTATATGGCCAAAAGCTTTTAACATGGCAGGGACCAAAAATTAGGAATGATAAATTTACTCCAGTATAATCGATGGTCTAGTATTTGTTTTAAATTTTCTTTTTTCCTATTTTTTCTCAGGTTTTGGCTATGGAATGTTCAGGTTTATCAGATTGAGACAGTGTTCTAGGACAACATGAATCCAATTTCGTATGATATAAGAGATTTTACCAGTTAAGCTATTGGCTTCTAGGGAAATGTTTCAGTTGCAACAATAAAATTCTTCAAAAGGGCAGAACGCAATGTTAATGAAGAACACTTAGAATATTGAGCTAATGACTAAAAAACAATATGGAAGATTAAAAAACATGTTATGGCCCATGGGGAAAAAATAGAAAATAAAAAGAACGAAGAAGCAGGTTGAGACTTAAAGCTGCTTACCTCATCATAGAGATAAGGGAAAGCATAGTTAAATAGCTTGACTTCCTCTGCAATGAATTGTGGTCCATCCTGTGAGGAATAGTTCGATGTTGGACAAATCACACAATAGCTTCAACACAGCTCAAATCTGAAATTCTAGTGTCATCTGAACCTGTGGATGAGTGGCTACAGAATTTGAAGATATTGCAATAACTCCAAGCCCTTTCTGCATGGGAAAATACAATGAACTTTGAATATGTTACTTCTGGGCGGTCAATGACTCAATAGTTTACCCAATTGCAGATACAAGTGACACAAAAAACAAGCCTTACAGGAGAAAATTCGATCCACTACCAGCCTACCTTCATATAGAAATTTGAAAGCTTCACAATATCTTTTTTCAAGTGTTTAACAAATGGGCAGTGGTTGCAAATGAACATAACCTGCACAATGACACTGTTAATGCGTGCCTCATAATTTCTTATTTGAGAGAGAGAGAGAGAGAGAGAGAGTCAAATTCAATAAAGAAGCCAAGGTTGAGAAGCTTCTTAAGCTTCAGATGGCCATAATTTCAAGTTCAAAACTGAGCCAATCTGGGAAGTTTATTAAGTTTGCCATGGCCATGGGAGGGGGCCCACTACTTCACCCACCCCGATTGTGTTCTATAGGCCCACAGGTCCAGGCGTGGCTGTTAAATCTATGTTTAAAGTCACATTAGCTGCAGATTGAAACATTTTCATAGCATAAAGAAATCAGAATAACGCTCTAAAGAAAAAGTTGCCATGTAAATACGATAGAAGTGTCTTCCTTTGGTCAGATAACAAAAGAGAAAATAATAGGAAACAGAATAAGAATTGACTAATAACAGAAAGCCCAATATAACCAAACCCTCTCCAAAGCAAAACCTGAAAGGTAAAATTTGTCAAAAGAGAAGCATGTGATGACACCCATTGAGGAGCAAGACCACCATTTTTTCTTGATACGCAGTCAAATGCAGAGCATTATTTGCTGAAAACTTAGGCCTCGTTTGGGAACAGGCTAATTTAGTAACTTTTTGGCTATTTGGCTAAAAAGGTAGGTAAAAAAAACTTGTATGTTTGGGATGACTTTTTGGCTAATTACGAAAAGATGTGCAAAAAGTAGAGAGAAAAGAGAATCTTTGACTTTTTGGTATGGGTTGTTGGCTTTTTGGCTAATTTAGTAACTTTTTGACTAATTGGCTAAAATAGTCTCTTGCCAAACGAGGCCTTAGTATACTGAACTAAAGCATATGCAAATTTCTCTGATGAAGACTTCGACAATCACTTTGCTTCTATTAATTTCTTCCAAAAGTAAATTTTTCTTCCCAGAATTTTGCTATATTTCTTTGTTTTCATTGTTTACATCTTTTCCGTAATTGACTAAAACTCTATTTTACATAGATTTTCAAATTTTTTGTGTGTTTTCCCTCACGATGAATGATAGATAAGAGGGCTATCAGCTTTTGGAATGTAACTATCTCTATTTTCTTAAGCTTTTGCACATTAAATATGTCATGTGTGGGCAATGGGTACAATGAGAAGATCTGGTTTTACTTTAGATTCTATTTGACTGTTGATATTTGTAATACGGATGTTGATTACTCTACTTGTATACTTGATGTTTGATATCGTGGTTTTAGGTAGTGTTTGGTTCATTAGAATGAACCGGAATGGAATGATCATTCCATCAAAATATTCATTCCTATGTTTGGTTAAACTAAAAATATAATGACAAACGCATTACAAACGGAATCATATTTCACTATGTTAAGAGAATGATCATTGCATAAGAAAGTCTAACACTATATTTGGTTGAGAGATTTGGAAAGGGATTTAGAAAGTGAACGGGAATATGTGTGAAACTAAATGAAATGTAAGTATATTTTATTCATATTTCATCTACACTTTCCCTTTTCCTTTCCAAATCTCTTCTCAAATCTCCCAACCAAACATAGTGTAAGTAATTATCATTCCATCTCATTCCAATGAACCACATAGAGCATTAGTATATAAAGAATCTCATTTTAACCGTATCTCCATAGATAGTTATGCTATGCTTGGTTCATTGGAATGAGTTGGAATGGAATGATCATGCCATCCGAATGTCCATTGTCATATTTGGTTCACTAAAAAAATTATGAAAATTACATTGCAGATATAACCATAATTTATCATTGTAAGGGAATTCTATTCCAATCCACCTTCATTACGGTGAACCAAACACTACCTTATGACAAACATTTGCAAGATGAAATATGTCAATCCCGGTGATTTGGACATTCAAAGTGCAATGTAAATAAAAATGGAGAAGTTCCATTGCCATGGAAGTGATTAACAAACTCATCATCCATGCCATTGCAGTAAATAATAAGGTTAAAAAATAGATAAAGCCCTAGAAAGTAAAAAAAAAATTTGTCACAACAAATCAAAGTTTACCAGCAAAGCAGGGTATGCTTCAAAGTCGTCCAATTTCCACAATTTTCCAGTAAGCGGCTCAGGAAGCTAAATCATAACAGAGAAAGAGAAGTTAAATCATAAAATGACCTACAAAATAAATACATTGATGTGTAAGGAATTAAGAAGTACAAGAGAGGGACCTGAAAGTGAGGAGCTCTGAAGCCAAGAGATACACCTTTGGACTCAGTTCTCGCGGCTCGAACTGCGAGCTTTCTCGCCGGAGAAGGACTGTGGAGTTGCAGAGGAGGGAGGCCCAATTTTGAGGACAGAGAATAAGCGGACATAGAAGAAGAACACCTAGATATGGTTAACGTGCGCCGGAGGCTCAGTAAACGTGTGCCGGCAGCGGACACGGTTACTGCAACCGTGGCCATGAGAGAGAGACGATTGTTGCTCTGAAACTGCAAGTGGTTCGCCGGAGGGCTTCGCATTATCCAAGAGAGAAGGATAATCTTGTGACTTATCGCGGTTTGTCAATTGATTTTTTTAGTTGAATTTTTGACTTTTCATATTGGTTTGACATTCTTTAAATAATTTATCATTTTATTTTTTTATCACATCATTCATTTTTTTTTATATTTTTTTTAAAAAAATTAAAAAAATACATTTATTTAGATTATTACAAATCATTAGGGAAAGTAAAATTGATAATTAATTAGGTAAATTATTAACAGTGTTACTACCTGTATTAATTAATGTACTAATTAATATATCAATATTAGTTATGATATTATTATTAACCCAACTTATTATGTAAATTATAAACACTAAAAATCTTTTAAATTATGGCATATCATCAATTGATATATTAAATAGTACATTAATTAGTACATATAGCATTATTCAATTATTAATAAATTCTAATAATTGCATTTAATTTTCTTTAAATTTTATTAAAAATAATTTTTGATAAAATTGTCCCTAAATATAATTCTTTATGACGATTTTTTACATATGTCAAAAAGCAAGCATTAGTACTTTTTTGTCAACAATTTTTATAAATTGTCACTAAAACTTAGTGACGTTTTCTCTTACAATTTTTTCAAACTGTCACTGAAAATTGAAAATTAATAATTTTTTTGCAATAATTTTTTTAAACTATAATTAGTGATATTTTTTGTAACAATTTTCAAACTGTCATTAAAAATTAATAATTAATGAGTCTGTTAATAGTGTTTGATGAAAAATGTCATTCATTATCATAGAATTATTAATTTGTTTAATCTATTTTATTTATTATATTTTTTTAACTAAAAAACCATTGCCAAACAACTCCAATGTAACTAGACCATAGGCTGTCGTATATTAGTATAGTTAAATTATTATTGTATGCCGATACTATTCTATTAATTTGGCACCTAAAAGTATCTTCATCAACGTAGTTATTTTAATTTTTTAGTTAAAGTGGTAAATAAATATTAAATTTTAATTCCATCAAACTAGTTATTAAGTTAGCTATTTTAGTTTTGGTGGATTTAACTCAACAAATGTAACTAGTGATTTAGGCTAATTAAACATTAAAAAAAATTATTTATATATTTTGGAATTAATTGTGTAAAGTTTATAAAAAAATAATTTTAAATTAAAATTAATAAAAAATTATATTTAAATAGCATGGAAAAATAATAAAGAGTTTGTTAGAGAATGTGTTGAAAATCTGTACAGCCAAATAAAAAAAATAAAAAAGAGCAATTTTTAACTAAAATATAATTAAAAAATTTAACTAATTTTGTTTGGGATATCCTAAATAAGCGTACTTTTTGTCTTTTTGAACTAAAAAGTTGAGAAAAAAATATAGATATTTGATTTAATTTTTTGATTTTTTATGGAAAAATGTGTATTAAAAATTTGTATAAATTTAATAAGTGTATAGAGGAATAAAGTGATGGAATAATTTTGCTTTATGAATGAGAGTTTTAGTATTAATTATTAAAATTTATTGATTTTAGTATTAATTTCAGTATTATTAGAATTTTTAGTATTATTAGTATTTTTAGTATTAATTTTAGTATTTTTATAATTAATAATTTTAGTATTAATTGATTACAAAAAGTCATTAATTGCCACTAATTAATTTATAATGAAATAATTTTATACTAATTGATTTATAATGAAAAAATGAAAATAATAATGAAATAATTTTATATTAACTAATTTATAATGAAAAATAATAATTTATAATGAAAAAATAAAAATAAGCCATTAATTGACACTAATTAATTTATAATGAAATAATTTTATCAAATGTATCAATTTTTATATTAATTGATATTAATTAATACTAACTGTAATGACAATTGTTATATTATTAATTGTAATGAAAAAAAATTAACAAAAATAGAATCACAATTAACAAAACGAAAGAAGAGAAGAAAAAAAGAAAAAGAAAGAAGCGAAAAGAAAATAAGAAGAAAAAGAAATTGCAATTTTTATGTTCATAAGGGCAAAAATGATAATTACACAGCAAAAAGTTATTTTACAGCTTGTTTACCAAACACTACTCTGCTGCTGAAATCCATAATCCTACAGCTATACCAAATAGGCTACCAGCTTATGTTCACAGCTGTAAGCTGTAATCTGTTAAGTTATAATCTATAATCACTTTCTCACACCTCTACCAAACGGGGCTTAAGATTGGACCCATCCAGTCAGGCTTATGGGTCTATTTTTGGACCTTGTTTCGATAATTCGAACCGTTCAATGTGTAGAACTTGTCGAGTATTATATCTCTGTAAAAACTCATGTTGATCGCATATCGATAGCTATTTAATCGGATCAGAATTCTGTCAACCATTTATTTTTTGACTTCATTTTTTTTTAATCTGATCCGATCAAATAACTATCAATATCCGATCAACATGATTGTTTATAAGGATATAGTACTCAACGAGTTCTACATATTGAATGGTTCGAATTATCGAAACGGGATCTAAATAAACCCATGGGCCAGATTGGCGAGTCCAGCCTTGATTTCAACATGAGACAAGTTAGATCCTTTTTTTAAATACTAAAAATTAGATGTTGAATTGTTTTTAATTTAAACAATTATTTGGTATGTATTAAAATTTAATTTTTTTAATTTAATCTAGTTATTTGATACGTAAAAAGGGTGAAGTTTGAAATTTATTCACTTTTTAATTAGTTTTAATTATTGTATATGCTGGGTTGATAGTAGAGTGTGATTTGAATTTTTAATTTTTAATGTAGCAAGCCCCAACTCCAATCCTTTTCTTTTACAACAATGATTTATCCCCCCTTTTCCTCCCACCCCCTTTGACCCCCTCTCTCTCTCATTGGTTACATTTTCTTTTTCTTTTTCTTTTTTTTCCTGCTCCTCCAATCACCACCCGCCACGTGGCAAAGGGGGTGAGGGGGTGACCCCCAAAAGGGGGTCCCAAGCATTATTCTAGTATTTAATAGTATTGATGTTTTTAAGGTATAAGAAGGCAATGCGAGCCAAAAAAAATATATATATATATATATATTTGAGAAAAAGATAAACAAAATAAGCACATGAAGGCACACAAATTTATGTGATTCAATAATATATTTATGCTCACAGAGAAATAAGAATGAATTTTACTATGAATGTATAGATTATAATGAGTTGGGTTATTAATCAGGTCAGCTTTAATTGAATTATTTTTATTTTTATATTTAAAAAGAAAAAATGAATTGCAGATTAGTTGCTCTGGAATTGTGTTTCCTGCATTACTAGCTGCCTACAGTGGACAAGCTGCATACCTTGTCAAATTCCCCGGCGATGTGGGTAATACTTTCTACGCCTCGATTCCAGGCAAGTCTAAAATCGAATAATTCATTGTGATTACTCAAACTCAGGAAATATATCTCCACAAATAAATATACTTTTTTATTTTTTATAAAATAGATACATAAAAATAAAGAGATAATATGACTCAAAAAAGATTAAAAGATAAATATATATATATATATACTTTTATAACACATCCCAAATAAACTATTACAAAGCTATGAGGGACGTGACACCCAATTCGGGGGCAAAAGACCATTTAAGGCTCCTCTAGCAGTTCAGCGGACTGCCATATTTGCAGATCTAAGGTACCAATTAAACGAGAAACAATTTCTGGAGGCTAGTAATCGCACATCCCCAATGATAGGAGCACAAGACCATGGAGGGACATTTTCAGAAACACACAACTAGATAACCGTCTTGTTGTTTTACCCGAGACAACTTGAGTTCGTGGGCCATTAAGCATGCCCATTGAATTGCTAAGGCTTCTTTTTTTTAAAAGTAGGATACAATTTGGGCTGGCTTAATCTGAACAATTTGAATTCAATTTAAAATTTTTTAGAGTTTGGACAAGTTATTTTTAAATTTGGTACAGATTTAGATAAAAATTCAGAAATCCAAATAAAATTTAGGCAAGCTTGGGCAAAGACGTCAAGCAATCTGAACAATCCAAAACCCGAATTATACATATAAATTATTAGCCATTACATAATATTAAAATAATTTAAATTATTAAATCATATTGAATATATTATTATACATACAAATAATATAAAATCTTTCTTCTTCTTTTTTCACTCATAAATTGTAAGGACTATTATAGAAGTATCTCTCTTACATTATATAAATTATTTGTTTTTATGGCATTAATGATTTTCTATAAATAAAAAAAATATAAATAGAGTAAATTTTAACAATTTAATGTAGCTGCAAAAAAAAAAAATCAGGCAATTTAGGCAACTCAAGCAATTCAGGTTTAACTCAGGTCGGGTTTGGGTAGACAATCTCGGGTTACAATTCGGATCTGGACAAGTCTCAGCACAACTTAAGTTGAGTTTGAACAACCTCCCAACCCAACCGAGCCCGCCCGAATTGCACCCCTACTTCCAAGGCCGAGGTCAACTCCACATGTCGAGCTACACCATCTACTAAGTACCCTCCTTTTGTATGTCAAACAGGCCCTTAGCAACAATCTACTATTATTATAAAAATGTGAAGAATCTATCATTTTTTATATTTTTTAAATCTCTCCAATCTATTATATTTTTTAAAAGTCATAAAATGTCTTATATAAACCAACTATCTCTTTATTTTTTGAGTTAAACACTCAAAAAATTATATTTCCACTTCCAAAAGTCCTATATAAATATAAATAGTCTCTTTTCTTATAAAAAAAAAAACCATCACCTTATTTTTTACATTTATGATGATTGAAGAACAAAAGACAAGGGGTGCCTGCTGTACATAGAGTACAATAGGGTGTGTTGTGCATACAAAACGACATAGTTTTGAACTTTTTTTTGCTTTTTTTTTTGGTTTAAGCATAGGAATGGAGAGAGAGAGAGAACTGTTAGTTTGAAACAAAATAAAATAAAACCTTACAAATTTTAAAGGCATTTATTGTAGTAAGGAGAAATATACACTGACATATTTTTTTATTTTATTTTTAAAAATTCACATGAGTTGAAATTTAATGCATATTTATTGATTATTAAATTTTTGATGTT